TACACATATATATGTGTAGACGTTGTTAAAAATGAACATGAGTTTTATCTTTTTTTGTGGTTTTGAATAACCATCTATTAATTATTATATAATCGTTTATAATGAGGTTATAAAGTTGTTAAGAACATATGTTAAGTAATCATCGCATCTAAGAGATAATCATAAGCAAGCAACATGAGTTGTCATTCTGTAAGTAAAACAATGTATAAAAAAATAACATATCGTCATGCACTCAACTATCCAATTATCCGGATTTTCGATTATCCGAGTGCCTTGCGATAATAATTAGTCCACAAATAAGCCTATTATCTCGGAAAATGCTCCTACGGGTGTTTGTTTGTTGTGTAATAACTTGGAAAGTTTCAATGTACTATTATTATCATTAGTGGGAATTCAGAAATTGTTCGTCAACAAGGTGAATGATATTTCAATGATTGATTCATAGCAATTATTAACGATAAACAATGTTCAATCAATCATCGCTTGAGCATTTTATAAGTGATTCCTCAATAATACGTCACTATAGATACGAGTGTGAAACAATATGAGTGTTTAGAACAAACAAATTAATCGCATTGTCTATTACCTACAGTGATTCTCAACCTTTTTTTTTTGTTGCGGCACATATTTAACGATTTCAAAATTTGGCGGCACACAAAGAAAAAGATAAAAATTATTTACTTACTACAACACACTGCGTAAATAGTTTATGACAAAAATTTTAAATATTTGCAAAATTTGGCGGCACACAAAAGTGCCGCGGCACAGTGGTTGAGAATCACTGGTCTATTATCTATTTTATTTATAACACAATATATTTTTTTTTATATATATATATATATATATATATATATATATATATATATATATATATATATACTGGATTTTTAATTGTCATTTGATTTTCCGCTCTATCTCGGTTTTTCCGTAATTATAGTTCCTTAATTATACTTATTTCCTCTCTTAATTTATTGTCTCATTATATCATCATCATTATATCAGCTGTTAATTTGTTCACTGCTGAACATAGTCTTCCCCCATTAAGAAGGGTTTTGCCAGTAGTTGCCATGCTTGGTAAACGGGTTAGCAAGTCTTTGCTGATGTTTCAATAGGGACGCTGTTCCCCTCCCTCGTCTACTAAGTTCCCTTAGTTGCCTCTAACGACGTTCATGGAAAAGGAAGGAGTGGCTTATTACTTTTACTAGATTTATTGCTAACTTTGGGATTGTCGCCGTGTGGTCCCGCCATAAAATAGGCCACCCCTTCCTTTCCCGTGGATGTCGTAATAGGCGACTAAGGGAGGGCGAGGGATGGGCTGGATTGTCCCTATTAAAACATCTCCAAAGCCTAACTACGGTTGCCAATCCGCCTGCCAAACGTGGCAACTACTTGGCAAAACCTCTCAAGGGGGAGGCTTATGTTCAGCAATGGACAGGTAACGGCTGATATGATGATGATGATGTTAATTAATAATTATTGAATAATTTAATTATTCCCCGTAAATTTTACTCTACTATAGTAGTACCAGAGGGAGACTTTGTACAAAAGTCGATTGCTTGGGTATCTCTGTCCCATTCGTGTTTCAACCATGAAGCAGTTGTGTTTGCATGGCTGTGTTCCGGTTTGAAGGGTGGGATATGGGGTGAATTTACCGGGTACAGAGGAATAACACCTGAGTCATCACGAATGGCAACGCATGGGGGGTATCATGGGCGAAACAGCATACTCTGTTATGTCCATGGTACTGCTCATGTCTATAGGCGACAGTTACCACTTTCCATCAGGTGGGCCGTCAGCTTGTTTGCCATTCTAAGTTGTATAAAAAAAAAAATAGTTATTCTAAAGCATAGTAGTATTTATTCCTAATTAGGTTAATCCGTTATACTCATGTATGGCTGCTGGCACTGTTATTTCAATAACAGGATATATCAAGATTGTTTACTATGCTATACGAGTAATATTATATTATAAACATATTATTATTGTCTATGCCTTTATATAGATTATACACTTCAAGACGGACCACTAACACTTAAAAAACGTTTCAAGAACGATCAGTTAAATTATCGGCTTAGCTATTTTTTTTTATACAACTTAGAATGGCAAACAAGCTGACAGCCCACCAGAAAGTGATACCCGTTGCCTATAGACATGAGCAGTACCATGGACATAACAGAGTATACTGTTACGCCCGTGATACCCCCCATGCGTTGCCATTCCTGAGGACTCAGATGTTATTCCTCCGTACCCAGTAAATTCACGCCATATCCCACCCTTCAAACCGAAACACAGCCATGCAAACACAACTGCTTCATGGTAGAAACACGAATGGGACAGAGGTATCCAAGCAATCGACTTTTGTACAAAGTCTCCCTCTGGTATAGTCTTATTTATTACAGATATTTGATTATTTAATAGAGAGAAACTTTGTACAAAAGTCGTTTGCTTGGGCAACTCTGTCTCATTCGTGTTTCTGCCTTTTGAAGTTAGTTTGAAGGGTGGGATATGACAGTGAATTTACAGAGTACAAAGGAATAAAACCCGAGTCTTCAGTAATGGCAACGCATGGGGGGTATCATGGGCGAAACAGTATATTCTGTTATGTCCATGGTACTGCTCATGTCTATAGGCGACGGTTACCACTTTCTATTAGGTCGGCTATCAACTTGTTTGCCATTCTATGTTGCATAAAAAAAGATTAATTACAAAGATAGTTATTGCTTGCAATACCGGAAATTGACGTGAACAAAAAAAAATGTTAGACGTTTTTTTTACACGCGTTACTCCATCTAAATGTATACGATCTACGTAACGCCGAACCTTTTTCAACTGTTTATAAACCATTAGAATGATTATGCATGCGTCCGCGCTGCCTTCGTACTCGAGCGGTGATCGTTCGAACCTTGTACTAAATTGCGGAAGGCCGCGTGCTCTCGCTGCGTTAAGCCGTGGTTACGAGTGGTTGGTGTTGGTACCTCCAAATCATATTTGCATAAATAAATATTTTAATGATCACGAGGATCTTTTAAATAAATAGATTTTGTTTGGTCACAAAAAATAGTGGCTTTAGTGATGACATAATTAAAATGGGACTAAAACGGGTTTACCTTATTGACCGCTAGAATAAATAATTTAGGATTTTGTTCCGCAAAATAACACTGACCGTGACAATATAAGTTATTTTAATTTAAAAACTAAATTACTGAATCGATTTTGATAAAATTCTTACGGGACCAATCTGATAGTATATACTATCGGAAAAAAATGCTTTTCTAAATCACTTTATATATAATGGAGTTCTGAGTTAACAAACATAAGAAAAGGTACAACCCAATTAGAATATATAATAGAATCTTCTACTTTTTAAAGTCGGTTGAAAAGGATAAAATATTTAAACATAAAAAATATATGTGAATTTAGAATGTTCTTTTAGATTCGTTTTCTTTTTTAAACTTGTAGTTTGCAGCTAATTGACTTATAAAGTGCTTCAGCCTGTCTGTTTGTCTTATAGTCTCTCCTGATTCGAATCAGTGCAGCGTAATACTGTACTAGAACTCGAAGCATTATTAGTCACTAGTTATTTCTCGCGACTTTGTCTAGATGAATTATGATATAAAGTTTATAAAATAGAATAGAAATAATCTTTATTCAAATAGACTTATGATTATGAATAATGTATTTCTACATGTTAATTTAGTAAATGTTCTATCTTTGTGCTAAATTCCATCCAAATCCGTTTAACCGTTAATTGAGCGGTTGAATAACAAACATCCAAACATGTTTATTTTTCACATTTATATTATTAGGATTGTTATTTAATGGATTACAAAAAAATAGAGGTCACTAGTGTATTACTTTTTTTATATCAATATCTTATTTTTAGGATTCCGTAGCTTTATAGGTGAAAACGAAATCATTATAGGATCACTTTGTTGTTCGTCCGTCTATCCGTCTTTTAAGACCTTTTTTCCTCAGAAAATCGAATCGTGGAGGTATTAAGTTTAAATTAATACCAAATATAAGTCTCCGTTCCCTTAGAGCTATGAAAGAAATTAAACTTCTATGTCAACGCAACATTTGCAAAGGAATCAAAATCTAAAATAGTTCCCGTTGACATAGAATCATGAGATTTGAAATTTGAAAATCCAAAAACCGAAAATTTATTGGTAACACAATATGATTTTTAAAAATTATGATTATGAATGGAATCTTCGGTACAAAGAACCTAGTCACTTGGCCGTTTTTTTTAATAGTTTCAAAAATAAATAAAAACATGTGTGTGTGTGTGTGTCTAAAAACGACCTTATACAATTAAAGGCAGCATGTTTGTAATTATACATATAAGAAAATGTTAGTTATCTAATTAATACAAAGTAATTTAATGGCTAGAGGAAGTATAAATATAATCTGTGTAATAAAATAACAAAATAAACCCATAAAATAATATGCCATTAAAGTGGGCCACGGGTTTGATCTGTTTGCATTCCGTTTCGTACATTTTATATTAATAATAATATGATTTTTTATAAATATTATTTAATGAATCAACGTAAGTTTAAAATATGTAAATTAAAAAAAATAAACCAAAAAATATGCTTCTTTTCTCATTTTTAAGATACGCGTAATAAAAAAATTCATTTACCTATTTCTATTTCATAAATAATAAAATTTAAAATAATACATTTCTTAGTACTTTTCAAATTGACAAACATAAACCTACGAAAGAAAATAAACAAAATATCTAATATTAAATATATAATAATAATAATAAACATATATTAAATATTCTATGTGTGAAATGTTTTCTATTTTCCATATATTACTTAATTTTAAACTTTCGCGTTGTTTACATATATATTTTTAAAAATTTTTGTTGTATCAATTATAAAAAAAAGGAGAAAAATAAAAATTCTGCAGCGAAGAAATTCATTCAAAAAAAAAAAACAATTCACAAAAATAAACATTTTCTTTTAACGTACTACAAAAAAATAAATACTTACATGAAAAACGACAAATTTTTATCACAAGCAACATTAATTCACTTATCACACACACACACAAATACATACACAAAACAATAAAACAAATACGAAACAACAAGACACTTGTTTGTTTATTTGTTAAAAAAAAAAAAACAAAATAATTATGCGCAGGCGCGTGTATTCGCCGTCTTGTTTAAATAAACATTAAACTATAGATGCTGTGAAAACTCAAACATTGCATATTGTTTGGGATGGCGACTCTTGCTTCACATTGCGCACACACCAAAATGTTAGAGTATGCAAATAACAGCATAAAAAAAAAAACATAGTATCAAATGTAACAAGTTTTTCTCTCAACTGTCTCGCAATATTGTTATTTGTATCTAGTTATATAAGTTTATATTGTGGCGAAAAGGTTACATTTAAAGTTTAGACTTTCGCGCTGTACGAGTATGTCTTATGTTTTATAACAGACGGGAAAAAGTCGATTGCTTGGGTACCTCTGTCCCATTCGTGTTTCAACCGTGAAGCAGTTGTGTTTGCATGGCTGTGTTTCGGTTTGAACGGTGGGATATGGTGTGAATTTACTGGGTACAGGGGAATAACACCTGAGTCCTCAGGAATGGCAACGCATGGGGGGTATCATGGGCGAAACAGTATACTCTGTTATGTCCATGATACTGCTCATGTCTATAGGCGACGGTTACCACTTTCCATCAGGTGGGCCGTCAGCTTGTTTGCCATTCTAAGTTGTATAAAAAAAAATTACGTGATGGTATGTTAGTCGAGATAATTCAGGTAGATTGTCATAGCTTATTTTACCCTCCCAAAGAGGGTTGACGTCAGGCAGGTGGCCGGTCGTAAAACTAAAACCAAATCTTTTTGTAATATGGATAAAATCATATTACGCCGACCCCAAATGATTGGGATAAGGGTAGGAAGATAATGATGATGATATCATAGCTTATTTTAATAATTATAAAACATAAATATCTATCTCATAAAACATAATATTACATTTTATTGGATCGTCTTATAAAAGCATCAACAACTTGTATGCGAGCGTTTATTACAAAAGTTTACATCAAAAAATATTTTCTAAACAACTTACTCTTTCTGTTCTCTTTTGTACTTTATTTTTTAATACTTATATTGCATTTTCTCGATGTTTTTCATAATACATTTTTAATTTTGTATTTTTTATTTTATACCATAGTGTAAATCATGATTTCAGGCGTTAACGATTCGCTGCTGAACAATCACCCTTTTCCATGCAGGGTGATTTTTGTTAATTAATTATGACTGTAATGCATAATTTGTGAATATGAATTAAGAGGGAGACTTTGTACAAAAGTCGATTGCTTGGGTACCTCTGTCCCATTCGTGTTTCAACCGTGAAGCAGTTGTGTTTGCATGGCTGTGTTTCGGTTTGAAGGGTGGGATATGGCGTGAATTATAGGGTACAGAGGAATAACACCTGAGTCCTCAGGAATGGCAACGCATAGGGGGTATCATGGGCGATACAGTATACTCTGTTATGTCCATGGTACTGCTCATGTCTATAGGCGACGGTTACTACTTTCCATCAGGTGGGCCGTAAGCTTGTTTGCCATTCTAAATTGTATAAAAAATAATACAAATTAAAAATATACAAATACAAATAATAAATCAAACGTATTCGTATGCAATTACAAATCAATAAATATACATGTATAGAGATAAATTGTAAATTCCAATTCCGGTAGCCTTTAACAAATTATCCTGTTCACCTTTATAGAGGATCAATGAAGGCATACGGATATATTCATATGAATTTGCTTTTGAGAAATTATACCTTTGTAATATATATTGATGTGGTACCGCATTCGAGTATTCTGACACTTCCCTATGGTTGACTGGGAGAGAATGCTTTTAGCATTAAGTCCGCCATGTACACATATTTGTACTAATGAATAAATAAATAAATAAATAAATGTGGGAATGGGAATCAAATTTGTTTATATAAATGTGTTTTTGTATTTTCATATTAGTATTATTTTTGTAAGATATTTTGTAAGGGAGGGGAGTGAGCTTGGCCTTTTGAAAAATGCACATACATACTTTTATTAATTTAATATACTTTTTTAATATAAATGTAAATATACATATATATTTACATTTACATTAAATATAGTTATAACTAGAGTTATTACAATGTTCTTATGAAAAGTAAGTACTTACATGAAATTTGTTTGGGTATAGCAAAATTTAATCGATAGGCAGCTAATGTATATGAATTAATAATAATTTAAATGTAACATTATATTTAATGACTTTTACAAATAATGACTTGTTTTTAAATAAATATGCCATGCAATAATTTAGATTTACATTGAATAAATGAATAAAAGTTTTTAATCTCATATTTATCATACAAAGATGAATTGAAGTCAGTCTGGTTATTTAGGTATACAATATTTCTGTCAATCTGATTAATTAACCATTTGCAAGTCATATGTGATTTTTGGAACTGTAACATGACTTTTTTCCCCAATTTAAATGGCTAAAAAGTTGTCAACTGAGTAAAAACAATTTGCAATTAGATATTCTTTTAGTTTAGCATGAAATAATTTTTCTGTCTTTAAACTTTTAATCCCTTCTTGAATTTAGACTGTGCTATGTCTATGCTCATATGTAGTTGAAGGCGCTGTTCTTAATCTTGAAGTGAGTAGTTTTTGGAGTGGGCAGGAATAACTATGAAATTTGGGGGGAAAGGGATTGTTAGCAATGGAGTTTGACAGCCCCATTGCTATTAATATGCCTTATTAGGTTGACCTCCACGTGGTTCCCCCTGGAACCACTTGGAGGTCACTTCGTGAACAATTCTTGTTGAATTCGTCATGATGGGCTAACTGACCTGCTTCATCGTCACCTATCATCCTTCATTGGTGCTCCACCGGTGTATACCGATAGCGCGGGTGGGGTTGCCATTCCATTACCACCCATTAAAAAAAATCTATGAAATTTGGTGTATACGTCCTATAAGTATGTAGAAGGCTACTATTTTTCCGATCAAACGACGAGATTAAAACTAGATATTTTGACCCCCTTATTTATAAAAACGCCAAACCTCTCGTAAACCTATTTTGGCAATTGAATGTTTTGTCCTTTTCTTTTGCACTAATTTCTCCATTTGAAAGACAGCAACAAAACACTAATAGTTAAAATAGGTTTGTAGGACGTTTGGAAGTAGATCACTTTTAGGTGGCATATCAAGATCAAATACACCAGATTTTAGAGTAAGCTATTAGTTTTTCTAATATATTTTTTTAGCAACTTAAAATGGCAAACAAGCTGACGGTCCACCTGATAGAAAGTGGCAACCGTCGCCTATAGACATGAGCAGTAGCATGGACATAACAGAGTATACTGTTTCGCCCATGATACTCCCCAAGCGTTGCCATTCCTGAGGATTTTCTAAAATATCTCCCATGTACAGACATGGTGTAGTTACAATTTTACTATTTAATTATTATTTCATACTACATTTGATTATGATAAAAGTTAATTAAACTCTATTACATAACAAACTACAAAAAAAAATTGTAGTCAATCAAATTACATTTGTTACTTAACTGGCGTTAAAGCAATATTTAACTATAGAAATAATTACCGTATATGGGCAACGTAGACGTAAGAATGAAGTAAGTACCAGTTATATTGATTGGCAATATACAAGATAATTGTCTGTTATGACACTGCAGAGAGATTGTCCAGAGACCTTTAAATTCCTAGCAGTGACGTTGTAAATTGCATTCTAATGTTATTTTCTTATAGATATTTATTTGTGTTTTAAAAATAAAATGGATGCCAATTTTATTAACTGGCAATACATAAGATAATTATTTGTTATGTCACTATAGAGAGATTGCCCTGAGACCTTTATATTTCTAATAGTGACGTTGTAAAATGAATTCTTATGTTATTATTTTTTTTTTATAGATATTTATTTCTATTCTAAAAATAAAATTGGTGCCAATTTTGTTAACTGCCAATATACAAGATAATTATTTGTTATGTCACTGCAGAGAGATTGCCCTGAGACCTTTATATTCCTAATAGTGACGTTGTAAATTGCATTCTAATGTTTTTTTTTATAGGCATTTATTTGTGTTCTAAAAATGAAATTGGTGCCAATTTTATTGAATGGCAATATTCAAGATAATTATTTGTTACATCACTGCCGAAAGATCGTCTGCATGGGTACCTCTGTCCCACTTTTTTGCCATGAAGCAGATGTGCTTGTATGGCATTTGATTTGAAGGGTAGGTATAATATGGTAAATAAATTAACAAGGTTCAATTTAGGAAATTTTAGTCCTAAAGCGGTAAAATGGGGGATGAAAATTTGTATAGTAAATCTGTTGTTTTTAAAGTTAGAAGTATGAGAGTTTATTTTTAGGGTTTGATTAAAAAAGTTCTTCAGTAGCTTTTATAAATTCTACCTCTAAAGGGCGATTCGATTTAGATAAAAATTTGTATGTAAATTTGTTAATTTTAACTTAGGATATCGAATATCACACGTGAGCGAAGTCACGGGTAAACATTAGTATATTATAAACATAAAATATGTTGTTTGTTATAGAATCACATTGCATTTATTAAATTAAAATTGGGCATACTTAAGGAACATATCATGGTTACATACGATAATGAACAATATTAAAGATTCTCATGCAGGAATTAGCTAGTAAATTATAAATGTAATAAAAATATAAATGAATCAAATAGTGCTGAGGAAGTTGGCTTCGTTTCTGACTACCTACATATAAACATAATTTTTACAACTGCTTCTCTAATATCTAATCTAAAGAAATAAGGATTATCACTAGTAACGCCTGACAGGACAGTGTAAGGAACATGCAGTAGTCCAATGCCTACAGCTTAAATGGTCGCTTACAACGCGGTTTCAGAGATGCTTTCTTCCTCGAACACTCAGGTTATGGAATGAGCTCCCTGCCGAGGTTTCCCCAAGAGACTACATCATGGGGTTCTTCAAAAGGGGAGTAAAGAGGTTTCTTTAGGGTTGGCAACGCGCGCGTAATGGCCCTGGTATTGTAGGCGTTCATAGGCTACGGTAACCACTCACCTTCAGGTGGGCTGTATGCTCGATTGCCACCTCAGTGGAATAAAAAATGCCTTCGACGCGTTCCATTTACATAATAAT